CAATTTATAAAGTTAAAGCTTCATCTCGCATAGAAATAATTTTCAAAACGGGATTTCATAAACGAACGATGTTGTAACTTTTACTTAAAACTCCGATAGGTTTCAGGAGGAAAATGGTAACGATATACATAGATAGTTAGAAATTTTCAGTTGGTTAACGATGAGTTGAGTGTATGGGACAATTTGCTAATGAAAATTAAACGCTACTTGTGATTACGATAAAATGAATGAAATATAACTTTTGAATGATGTCGTTATAGACACGGATATCAAAATATCTACATGTATAGCTGACTATTTCAGAAAGTGCCTATTTAATGGCAAAAAATAACTTTTATTTATAATATTGTGCTCATTGTATTGTAATTATTCACATTTCAATATTAAATCGTGATTCTTTCCACGAAAAATAAAATATCAACATTTTCGTCGACAAAATGATCGCTATAATAAAATTAACGATAAGAATCTAACAAGAGAGAGATAGATAGAGAGAGAGAGAGAGTGAGAAAATAAGAATCAATGTGATATAATTAATTTTTATTTTTTTGGGGCTTTGCAAGATTCTCAGTTTTATACACTGGTTGTAAAATCGAAATTACTTTATTAACATATGTCTGGAAATTTTATATTTCACGGATAAAAATTTGATCCGCATGACGAGCTAATATAAACAGTTCAACGATCAAATAATATTCTTATGTCTGTCGTTTGGTTATCAATGAAAAATATTTCGAGTATCCTTATTATTCCCCTCACTATTTTGATGTATTTTTATTTTCTTGTTTTTTTTTGTGTATGTGTGTGTGTGTGTGTGTTTGTGAAAAATTAAATTTTCATTCGAAATTTACTCGTTAAAATTGCAATGCTGTACTTAATTTCATTTTTATATTTTCATGATATGTTAAAAATGAAATATTGAAAAGTGTTGAAAAGGTAGATTTAAAAATGTAGGAGAAGTAAAAAGGTCGGTCAGCATCCGGTGGACGATCTCGCGTATTTTCCACTCACACGGAGAGCGTAGACGTGGTTTGACGGTTCGGAAGGAACGACCGTGTTATTTACATATATTACTGAGAAAAAAAGAGGAAAAGAAGAGAAAAGAAAAAGAAGAAGAAGAAGACGAGAAAAGGTGGTACCCGGAGGACACAAATTTATGGTTCGTGCAGGTTCTTGACGGTCTCTATTTAGAAACGTTCTTTCTCAAAAGCGTAGAGTTTTCGTCTCACGAAAATCTTCCGGACTCTTCTGTCCGTGTCTCTCTCTCTCTCTCTCTCTCTCTCTGTTTCTCCCTTTTTCTTTTATCCTTATTCTTTATCCCGTCGCTACGTTGGAAGAGGCCACTCGTGCGCGGCCAATTCAGTTAATTTTTCCTTAGTGGAAGCCAAGAAGACGATTTTTCCCGCTCCTTGCCTTTCTAGATCTTTGCCCTCACCCCTCCCTCTCCCTCCTCCCTTCCCTTCCCTTTCCTTTTCTTTATCCTTTTTTTATCTCTTTCCTTTTCCTTCTCCCCGCTACCGTAATCCTCGCGTTAACTTTTTTCTCTCTACACTCTCCTTACCCCTTTCATTTCTCCTTGAACGAAGTCACGATGCGTTCACCACGTATTGTTCCTTGAAATCGTCTTCGAAAGGTCTCTTATTCTTCCCTTTCTTTTTTCCCTCCCTTCCTCGTCGTTTCGTTTTTCCTTTTTAACATCAGAACTGCCTCCAGAAATTCTCAAGACGAATGATAAAGAAAAAAACGCTGAAATGGTGAATCAAGAGGTTGACTGTTTCTGACAGCTTATGTTCAACGAGTTTAAATATTACATCGCAGTTAAAAACGATTTGAAATGGTTTTTATTTAATTTTGTTTTTTACGAAAGGTTAATAATATTATATTATTAATTTGTTGAAACCCACATCAAGACCATTTATATGGTTGTACGGTTATGAATGGATCCTTCAATTTTCGTACTGTGAATGTACAACTCGTACACGTACTTTCTTATATTTACTTAATTATAAAATTTTATTCGGTACTTACTTATTAACGCCACCGTAGCAAAAATTCCGCTAATGCGCCAATGAAGAATAATCTTGTTGTTCGCGCACAACAGCCTTGTTGTTTACAGATAACAACCGTCAGGGTTTTGTCAGGGTTGCGTCAGGGTTAGAGCGACAGTATCAGGTGAAAGAAAATATAGACTGTTTTGAATCTATGTTCAATTCTATATCGGCCCATTTTCCACCGAAAAAAATATAAAGTTCATCGTCTACGAAAGATTTGGTACTGAACAGAAACCCTGAGGCAACCCTGACGCAACCCTGACGCAACCCTGAAGAAACCATGACGCTTGATATGTGCAAACAACAAGGTTGTTGTGTGCGAACAACAAGATTGCTCTTTATTGGCGCATTAGCGGAATTTTTGCTGCGGTGGCGTTAATACGTAAGTACCTTTTATTCTTCTAAACTTCAACGTTGTAAGGGCTGAAGGATATACTATGAGGAAAATACAAGCTCAATTATTATTAATTAACAATATATTTTATTATTCTGTTATGAATTTTAACTGTTTTTTTCTGGATATTTTATATAGTGAATAGTTACTTGATTCAGTTAGTCAGCCTGTATTTCGATATTCCTTAGGAATCCCTTAGCTCCGATAGTTCTTATGAACTTAAGATATATCAAGGGATCAGCTTTCTCTTAAATAAACACGGACACAAGGGTCTTATGATTCTGTGGTCTATCTAAACTAAACAATAGTATCGACTACTTTTGTGTGTGTTTAGTTTGAAGCGCGGTATGGGTGGAAGAGTATGGAAAGGGTGTTGTTCTGTATTTATTTTGTTCTATAATTAAAAGTAAATATCTGAAAACAACGCTACGAATTCTTTGAAATATTTTACAATGTATTCTCTAGATGAATCTTTACATAACTCCACCTAGATTACATTTTTTTATTTCGTTTGACCGAAAATAGTATTCTTCTTCATTTATTTTTCCAATATGCTTTTTTCTTTTACAAAGCATTAAAACGTTTTGCTGTTAACGTTTTGTCGTTAACGAAGTTTTTTTTTTTTTTACAATTTTAGTCTCTTTATATATTATTTTTTACAATGATGCAACACGACTAACTTAAAATACAGGCGTTAATAATGCACTTTCCATTAAGTTAGGTTGTTTACAATGAGGAAACAACTATAAAGCAACGTAACTCGCTTATTACGAATGAATAATTATAACAACCGATTATTCATTTTCTACCATTGTGTTCAATGTTTTTAGGAAACAATATATTTCCTAACCACCTGTTTTTATTTTATTTGATAACTTTACCGATATATAATTGTTGCTATTTCATTCGAAAATTTGTTTTCTTTCATGTTCGTTTAATTTTTCTTTCCACGTCTGATACTTACAAGTTTGTACAAATTGAACATTTAAAAATGATCAATCAGAAATTTCGACAAAAATAATTTTTTAGTGTATTTATAATCTTATGATATATTAAAAACAAACTTTTTATCATACTACATATTTATCATGTATGATAAATCTAATCTTATACTTATCTTTTTATAATGACAAATCATCATGAATTATTTTTCTCTTATGTATATATATATATATATATATGTATGTTAAGATTTTAAATCTATTGTTTCATGAGTACCTTAGATATGTACACCAATGGTTTTTTTTGTAATTAGTTTTTATGTTGCTATTTTTAGAATAGGATAAATACGCTTCTCACATAGACAAAAGAAAATAGATGGTTCTAGGAAAGGTAGAAAACAACTTTCTTAGATATTCTAGGAATATGTTTTTTTGTTAGGTAAAAGTATAAGAAATGTTATCCTCTGTTGTTATGAAGAATATATTGTAGTATGTATTTGAAAATGTGTGAGAGTATGTGAGTTGTGTGTGTGTGTGTCCTTTAAGAGACATACGTTATTTCAAAAACATCGATATAAGTTGATTGAAATAAGGAATAAACAAACAACAAAATTAATAATATATATTTAATGTGTACACCTTGAAAACACCTGATTAAATATCTGTATGTTTCTCTTTGCTAATCAATAGTTATCATACTTAGAATTTTGATAAAATTGCAATAATATATGTCAATGTTCTTATTTAATAAGATCATAAGATGAATAAGAAGATTTAATAAGATTTAATAATATCTAAAAGATCTTTTTTAGTAGAAAAAAATTTATAAGAAGATAAAAAAATAAAAAGAAATGACTAATAACGATTTAACAAAACTATATATATATATATGTATGTGTGTGTGTGTACAATATTTTATATTATATAACATATATTCTAATATATGATAATACATAACAAGAACAATAGCTTTCAGTGAACAATTTTTTAAATTATGATTTTGATTATTGTAAAACAAAAATCCAAAATTTGTTAATTAAAATTATTTTAAGTTATTACAAGATTAGAAATTTGTATTAACAAAATATATAAGAGAATAGAAATTGTTAATGCAACAACAATATTGTTAAAATTGCATTTTTCAACAATTTGTACAATGTTTAATAAAAGATGATATAATATATTATTAATCCGTTTACTATAAGGTTTTATATCTCTATTTATTTAGTCACATTCAGTATACTCTCTTTATCTCTTTTTCTCTCTCTCTCTCTCTTGTTCTCCCACCCTTCAACTTCTTTTATAAATGATTCATCTGGTTGGAAAGCAGAAGCGTCGCTCGTCAGTTAGAGCTGAACGTTTTGACTATATCTTCAATTTATCTGTAATATTCACACATATAATAGTTCATATAATTTAATTTGAAATAAGGCTAAACATTTTAAAATTTTATGTGTGTTAAAAATATTTGTGTATTAGGTGAAAATTGTTATATAATTTTAATTATAAAATATTTGTTCCTGTGAATTAAACAAAGAAACATTTAAAAAAAAAAAAAAGAATAATACATTTGTTTAATCAAACAAGTTAATTAGAACGTTCTTAAAAGTGAAAATGTCTGATGTAAACACTCAGATCGAGAAACATTTCAATGTACTTGTACCTAAATTAGCTAATCATCTTAGAGATGATTTCGATAAATTTGAATACGAGTTGAAACAACCTGAAGATAGTATCTTTGCCTCTGGTATTTACTTTCTCACAATAAAGTTTTGGATTAAGAATGAGAACAAAAATAAGGAACCGAAGACAACTATTATGCGATTTGTCGCTAAAACACCGATCACGACTGCATCCGTGCAACAAATTATTAATATAGAAAAAAACTTTCACAATGAAATTATGTTTTATCGTAATTTTGCTACAGAGAACGATAATTATCCAAAATGTATTTACATCGATGTCGGTGAATCGTATCAAACAACGTTGATCTTGGAAGATGTATCTCATCGAGGTTACACACTTCATCCACAAAAAATCGATTTACCTATGGACGATATTATTGCAGTTATGAAAGAAATTGGTAGATTTCATGCCAAAGGATACGTCATGAAGGAACAACAACCAGATAAATTTTTTAAAATAATCAATGATATTCAAGAATGTCGATACGATGAAAACGATAAAGAAACGTTTCATCATTTTAATTATTTAATTAATTTCGTTAGTCACAGACCTGTCGCATATTTACGTGAACATAATTATGATCGAAATGTTTGTGATAAACTCGAGAAATTCTTTAAAAACGCTTATGATAATATCACGTTGAAAACTATAAAACCCGTTGAACCATTGGCCGTATTTTGTCACGGTGATTTTACTATTAACAATATGTTATTTAACAAAACCGAAAGGGAAGCTCCAGTATTGCTAATTGATTTTGCCTTAATTCGATACGGTTCACCGACGATCGATCTTTCCACGTTTCTCTGTCTCTCTTGTATCAATCAAGTGAAATGCAATAATATATCAATGGTTTTACGAGCTTATCATGACGAATTGACGAGATATCTTAAAGAAAATGGTTTAACAAATTTAGATAAATACTCATATGAAGCTTTCTATAATGATTACGTCGAGAATGTTCTTTTTGGTTTCATTATAGCAACATTTTTCTTACACATGCTTGTAAACAAAGATTTTCCAAAGATACCCGTTCTCTTGGATAAAAGTATAGAAGAAATTTCAGACCTAGTATTTGTATCAGGTGGTGATAATGTTTCCAAATTATTGGCAGACTTATTACTCGATTTAAAAGAAATTGGATGCTTTAATCATGTTTTGTGATGATTTTATCATCAATTGCCATGAAAAATGAAATATCTAATAAGTTGATAAATTAACACAATAAATGCATGTCATCTGTTAAATTGTGTTATAATGAAAGAGGCATTTATACAGTACTCAGGTTTCTATCTATGTACTGATAAGTTATCTACTTATATCGTAGTATTAAAATTTTGTTGAAGAAAATATATTTCAAGTATGATCGAAGAAAGACAAACAACTGATAAAATGATTACAGAATTTTTCTTTAGATAAGAGTTTAAAAAGTTTTTATTAAATAAAGTATCGATATTTCCGTCATAGTTGTCACTGGGATAAAAACAAAATATAAAAGGAAGAGATAATAAAAAGGATGAAAGCGTTTAAAAGTTCATGCAACGTTTATCGAATACATCGAACAAAAGCGTTTTACCTTAGCGTTGAGTAAAGAAGAGTTGTAGGACGCGCAAAAATTATTATTCTTCCAAGCGTAGTGAGTGAGTGAGAGAGAGAGAGAGAGAGAGAGAGAGAGAGAGAGAGAGACTCGACTCTGGTATCTGCCTTTCAAATAAAGGCATCCTCGTGTCGTGCTGTACCGTACTCTTGTACGCGGAAAAAACTTTGTCATTTCCATATATTTTTCCTCGTGCATCTTGGCGCGCGCGCGTTCGCGCGAGCGACTTACAGGAAATTCGTTTATAACGTCGTAGCCTGAATTTCAAATGCCGTCAAAAATTTTTCTTTGCTTTTGCTATGATAGAAACTAGCTAGAAAGAAAGAGAACGAGAAAGTGTACATGTATATGTGTGTGTGTGTGTGTGAGAGAGAGAGAGAGAGAGAAAATGAAAGAAAAGAGATTATGCATTACCTTGTTCACAGTGTTCTTGCACGATCATGTATGCGAACGAGTTAAGATAAATGATAAGAAGAAAAAAAAAGTAAGAGAGACAAATAGTGCATTTAAAATAGTTTTATTATAATTTGACGAGAATAAGTGTGAATATTCACATGGTAAAATTTTAATCATAAAAATAGTATAATTTTTCGATGGGTTGATTCTAGTGTAATTTGTAGAAAAACGAAAAAAAAAAAGATTTTTTTTAAAACAAATTTTATTACATTGTAGTGAATCGAAAACATGTATACATATATTTATATTTGGACGAGTGTATATGTATATATGTGTGTATTTGCAAGTGGTGCACTTTGGTACAGCCTTCAAGCATGGTATCATATTTTGTAAAATCGAGTCTACGTGGGTACATACGTACATTGAATGCAATCTATGTGAGGTTGTATCGATCGACGTGATATCAGTATCATAATAACAAGGAACTGTTCCTAATGAGAGAAACTGAATACACGTTGTATTACTTATTGTTAGAATAATCAAAAAATAATATATACAAATTGATAGGTAAATTCGATACATAACTGATTTATAGAAATAAATTCATAATGATAAAAAATAATGGACCTTGAAATTAATTAACTATTATAAACTATATATATATAAGGGTGAGAGAAAATGTGATAAATGTGTGTATCGATATTTCTAGAAATATTTGACGTGTATGGTAAATAAGTATGAGTGCGTGTGAATTTATTGTAGGATAAAAGTGACCGTTTTTTTAAACAGGATTGCATGTATCTTGAACCTATTGTCTAATGTGCCAGCAAGTGCGCTTATTTGATATTTTATTGTATTTACAACGAGTATTCGTGTGTGAAAGACGACGAAAAATAACGAAGAATTACGACGTTTAAAGTAACACAAAACACGACGAATTAATTAATTATTAATTTAGATATTTATAAATACTTACATTAAATTATAAGCACTTACCATATTATTTTATCTCATTTCATTACATTTTATTATAAACATTATTAAATATTAAATAAATAAAATTAAATACAAATAAAATTTTACATATATTTAAATAAGAAAAAGTCGTACATATTTTTATTTCTATTTGTTTTATAAACGTATTAAAAAAAAAAAAAATATATATATATATATAAAAATGTAATAAAACATCGTTTAACTTAATTTTATGAAAATTATCTATTATTTTCTCTTTTTCTTTCTCTTAAGGTTAATAATCATTTTTATATAATCTTTCGTACAATAAGAATCATTTTCTTGCTACTAGTAGAAAAGTGTACAAGTTTGATCGTTAAACTCGAAGAATCCGAACGTTTCGTACGCTTTGCCGACAAGTTCGAGAACTTTTTAAGAGGTCGAAAAGAGTTTAACGATCTTTAACGACTAGCATACAGATAGCTTTGCGTAAATGATAGAAAAGAAGAAAGAGAGAGAGAGAGAGAGAGAGAGAGAGAGAAAAGATAGAAATTGATGCTCTGTATACTCGAACGTTTTAATCTAAGGAAGGGTCACCTCGTTTCTTTAAAGTAGAAAATATTAGGAATATTTCGAGGAGAAAAAGAGAAGTTGGGCGTTGAAGTCGCGAGTCGCGTGCTCCAAGTTTTAAGATGCAATATTTCAGAACAGCTAAAAGAGAAGAAAGCAAAGAAGAAGAGCCCTTTAATGCGACAAAGCAAATAACCTTCGGTCTAAGAAGATTGCGAGGGAAACAAGGTCGGCAGACGATACCGAGTGTGCTGCAGAAAGAGAAGCAGAACTTCCACGCCCCCTTTTTCTTTTCTTCTCCTTTTTCCTTCTACCCTCCTTAACCTTTCTTCCTACTCTTTTCTTCAAGTCTCGTTCTACCCACGCAGAATCTTGATAAGCACGACCGGCTAGATAAATAAATTCTTTTCTCTCTGTCTGTCTTTCTCTCTCTCTCTTTCTTTTTTTCGAGAAAGTATTCTACGAAAAAGCTTTTCTACGAACAATTTTCTCGACGATTTTCACGTGTTTCCTCTCTCTTTAATTTATTTGAAATATTTTATTTGTTTTACAAATTTCATCATTTCTAAATGTGATTTATGATTCAACGATTTACTCTAATAATATATTATCACGTGTTTAATATTTATTATTAGTTAGGAGATTATTTTTACTTTGTTTTAATTTAAGATTGATGATTATAAGATACTGGGTGTATATTATATATTTGATAATATATAAGACATTGTGTGTGTGTCATTCCTATACGACAAAATGAAAATAGTGACAAATATAAAGATATATTTTCCACGTATATATATCACACCTTCGGTTCCTTTCAATATAAGAATGATCGATGATTCAGAATAAAAAGGTTTCAATAAAAGGGAAAGGAGAGTGTGTGTGAGAGAGAGAGAGAGAGAGAGAGAGGTCCTAGAAGGAAAGATCGAAATATTTTCAACTCGACTCGTGACAAATAACTTTGTTCCTAATTCGAAATTAATTCCATCCTAGTCGTAAATTATCGTTCTTAGAAAATAAGACAAAAAAAGGAAGGAAGGAAGAGAGAAAGAAAGAAAGAAAGAAAGAAAAAAAGGGAAGGGGTGAGTAGTGTTTCGGCACGCGAGCTAACATGTATAGGCCGAAAGAAAACCTTGGATTACCGATAACGTATTATCGTTTTATCTTCGATACGGTTGATCGATAAAACGAAGAAAAATATTCGTCCTATATTTAAAAAAAAGGAACAAAACGATCGTTGATTACGAGCTAAGTAATAAGAAAAATTGATGTTAAATCAATCTGACGCATACACAATGTGCCATTGTTAAAATGAAAAATGAACGTTCTTTTATTGTATAGACAAGTTTGCCACTCTTAAGAACAATTAATTATTTCTCAGTGTGAGAAATAAAAAGGAAAAGAAAAGAAAATCGTTTATTACCTAATCATTATTTGTAATCTCATTTACTAAAGTACACACACAATTGCTTGAATATTATTTTTGATAAGAACTATTTTCAGGAATGAAAATAAAAGTTAAACTAAACGTTGCATCAGCTGTCGTGAACAATACTATCGAATCTTTAGAAAAGAAAAGAAAAAAAAAATTCGAACAAAATGGAGTGAAAGTCTTTCTCTCTCTCTCTCTCTCTCTCTTCCTTTTGATTCTCATACTGCACACATACACAATTTCTCTCGTTGGCGATACGTAAGTATGCAAATGCAAGAGTACATTTATCTCGGCACCACGCCCATGTATTTCCTGGGAGCTTCCGGACGCATTGTCGAGAGCGAATCGAATCCCCACACCCGTGGTCGAATCCGCCACCCTCAAGCCACCCTTCGAGAGCAAGCACCCACCCAACCCACCCCTTCTTCATCCCGCGGAATCCCCGTGGTGCCGCCACCCCAGTCCGATACTCCGGAGATTTACGAGCAAACTAGCCTGCTCCCCAGGGCTAATAGACCGCCAAGTTATGGGCCAATTCAATTTAATTTCGAAAATAAACAACCGCCGACGGCGACGTAGGTCAATTTATTCCTAAATACCGCGAACCACCCACCTACGAGGAGATATTCTCTCTCTCTCTCTCTCTTTTCTTCATTCTCTTTTTCTCATCTCATCTCTTACTTTGGTCCACTCGAACGTAAAACATACGACTGAGAATAATGTCTGTCTTGTTTCTTCCGAACTAGCTATTGTTCGAATAGTAGTCCATGTGGATAGGTCTCTTCAATTTTCAAAATAATTCTAACGAAGTATGATTCGGTCTAACCAAGTTGATAGTGATAATCAATTATTAAAATTCAATTGATTATACGTCAAGGATGTTAAATAACAATTGAGTGCTCTCCTCAATGTAGATGGATCATTGTAAATTGAGAATACAAATAAATTTTAATGAAGTTATTTCTCGTAAGTAAGTGTATGGATATAACATAGATACACTACACTTATAACTGTGTGTATTTTTCAAACAAGTTTTCATTATTTTATATAGAAATTATATTGTTCAAATATTCGTTAATTCACTTATCTTGGATTGGAGTATAATCCGTGAGATTAACGTTGGGGGAAAATTCAGATAGATAGCGAGAGAGAGAGAGAGAGAGAGAGAGAGAGAGAGAGAGAAGGAGAATCGCGTAAGCGTAACGAAAAGTTTCGAATTCATCCGTTCTATGTAACAAAGCCACGTTTAAGAAAGACGAAAAGAGACGATTGGTTTGGGCATAGTTGTTAAGAAAGAA